CTCAAATTGGCCCCTGGCTCTGGTTATTCTTGAAAATACTTCATCTGCAATATCTTTTTGGGCCGTAAATCAATATACTTATGTTATTATAATGTAATTTTAAGTTTGCACATCTTTATTTATCATATCATCACATACTGTCCACCTGAGTGGACATATACAAATCTATTTTAAAAAACTAGACTAAAAAAAACTAAAGTTTTTCATGCCCCAAGAGCAATAATAACACTTGGTAAAAACATCCTGACTGAGGTTTTCATTATTCATGCATGAAAGGGTTAACAAAAAACAAACCTGTGAAATTCTAATTATATGACCTGGAATCGAAGGAGCAAACAGCAGGAGTGCACACACAAGAAAACAGGCAGGACACGGGGAACATTGGGCATTGTGCTATAAATGGCAGCCACAACATTGCTGCTAAACAGGAAAGCACAAAGCTGCACAAAGGCAAAGATGATTGCACGATATAGCTTTGAAGTTACAGCTTTCAGAATATGAGAATTGAATTGACTATAGAGTAGATCATTACTGGTTTCGAGGACAGGGGACTTCCTTCCATGCCACATCCTTTTGGTTGAAGGACGATTTCTTTCACACTAATGGTCTTAAATATGAGAATGGAGTTTTGGATCTAGCCCAAGCGCGTTTCTAAAAGTGCCCATCGAGGCTCCTCAACTGTGAGGAAGACATTTAGCTAGAAAGCCATTGTTCGAAAGTAAGTAACAAATGCAGCCAACAGCCCTTTTCCAAGAAAGGCAAAACAGTCTGCAGGGTGACAATAAAAAGTGTTTGGTTTTAGCTAAGTTTTAGTTCAAAATATTTGGCTCTTTAGTTGCTAACTCTAATGGCTAACTCTAGTAGCTAACTGTAGTTGCTAATTTGGCGCTTGCCGGTTGGTGTTCAGAGGGTTCTTTAGACTTTATTTAGCTGGAAACAGCTGTGAGTTGCAGAAAACAACCAGTGAGACAAGTTTCAAGCAATAAAACAAAAAACAATATGTGAAAAGATGCTAAAATGCTGCATAGAGCTCAGGGGAACTAGCTGAAGTAAGCTTTGAGGCAGCTTTGACTAGCTTTGAAGTAAGGATATTTCTAACTGCTGCATTTATTTTTAAAAACCGGTTTCTTGTATAATAGATGGAGTCAACTTTAGTCCAACAACTTCCTACTGGCGATCACTGGAGTGCTCTTTTTAAAGTTATGTTTACAGCTTCAGTACATATAAATTAGCCATCTGAATATGTACTAATGATAATTTTATAATGAGTTTAAATGTGTAGGTGATGAACGCCCAGCTTTACTTTTAACTTTACTTTTTTCTGTTTATCTGTGTTATTGTGTTGCACTGTTGGAGAAGCCTGTGACCTAAGATGTTCATGTCATAACTACACTGTAGCTATGTTCATAGGACAAAGTAAAGAACCTTGAACCTTGAACCTTGAACTGAAAGTAAACAAACAATTGAGACACGCTTGTACATTAGCCTGGAGACATGCTAGACCAGATTTAGTTAGATTCAATAGTTTTAGTGAAGAAGGAGGAACACAGGATGTTATGAATCAGCAACACTTCAGTATCAGTCGCAGTGAAGTCTCTGATGAGATGGCTCTGCATGAGTCTGAATGTAAAACTCTCATTGCCTCTTTGGATGCATTTACCTCCTCCTGGGAGGTGAAGAGAAGTCATCACATCCACATGCGTTTCCTGTGCTGTGTCTGTAGAGAATAACCAGCTGGCAAACTCCAGATCTACTTCTTTCAGGCATCATTTAAATGCTGTGATCATTAGACGCCTTTGGTATGATGTGTGTGCTGTGAAGAGCTCTCAATGCATCAAGGCTGAGAATTGTGGGATTTCTGGCCAAAGAAACCTAGCTTTCATATCAGTAGTAGGGGAATTTACTTTATAGATATTCCTTTTTTTTTTAAAACACAGTGGCACTGCACACTTTAGTGACATATTGTTCTTGTTTATTGTGCAAATATCAAGCTAGTTACCAACTCTGCGATAAAACTAAATATTAGGAGTTACTCTAATAGTTTGGTTTAGACAAGCGGATAGAGGAGCTGCAAATGTGTCATTGCAGTGGATTGTCACGTAAAAATTGAATAATTGTTTGTTTGTTGTATTGTTAGCTTTACATTTTTTGCATTTCAACTTATTGTATTCAATGCAACTCAGTTTCTGATACAGATTAGGCTACAGTAATGTTATTAGTACTTTACTAGGACTGCTTTCAACGTGTGTGATAGGAAGAAATTCAGTAACTGGAAACTATTGTGACGGTCAAAATGCATTGAAAACAGATGGATGTAAAAAACATCAAAATCCGATAAAAATTTTTTAGTTTAGGAGTAATTACCACTTTAATTCATATTACTATGCGTTAAGGTTTACAAAAACAATATTTTAAATGAAAAAACTAGAACAAAAGTTGATTTAAGAAAAATACCAACTTATTTTATCCAATGATATCAATCACTTTAATTAAATTAAATTAGCATTGTTTCCATCCTAGAATGTTCAAAAAGGTCTTTCTTTTTAAACACACTACAGGAAAAGGAGAACTCAAAAAAGCAGAATAGGGTCTCAAAAGCTTTGAATGTAACATAAATTACACAGGAACCATAAAAATAGTCCTTAAAATCATTGAAATATATGTTTAGTCAGACAGAGATATCACTGGTAGCTTTTAGATCAGAGCTTGATGCTCTGGCTGCAGAAACCTGTATGTGGTGGTATGGATGAAAGATAAAATAGCGAGCTGAGAGGTGGCCAGCAGCCGAGCGAGCAGTGTGTGTTTCTGTGTGCACACGTCTTTTATCCACAGTTATATCAGGCCGTCAAGCTTTCAATTATATCCAAACCCAGTATGAAAGCTCCTGTCACTTTTCTCACTTTTCGTAATGAAATTATTTCATGCCCATGTGACTGGGTGGGAGACTGAGACCTGATGAAATAACCTGCAGGCTTATTAAGTGAGTTTTATGGACAGAGGCCAGGGCACAGTGTGTGTGCATGTCTCAACAGAGAAGCTGCACACATGTAGCTGCTGCTGATCCTCCTCTCTGACAAGCAGCCAGCCTGCATCTTCAGGGAAACAAGCAGCCCATAATTACCTCTTCCCACCACAGCATCACTTCCTGCAAGTCAGGGATCCAAAAGACTTGTCTCCGTGGCTACCCTGTTGCCAGGAGACAGTTCGGGTGGGCCGCGTGGATGTCTTAGAAATGACAGACGGGCAGAGGTAACAGGTCTTGGTGCTCAGAAATAACACATCTCCTGCTATCAAGTCTCTCCTTCTTAATGTTTCAAACCCAGAGCCTTTAATACCATTTTTTACCTTCTGCATAAAGATGACATGTTTTGGGAATCAAATGTAAAAAAGGTGTCTTGTTGAGCGTTCCTGTTAACAGACTTGTAGTTATGTTTGCATTCTGTTTTTCTCCAGGAAACACATTGTAAGCATTCCCAAAGTCTAATGTGTCGAATGTGTGTACAATAGGGAGTATTTCCTTCCAAATAAAACACTTTTTTGAATATTTTAAATCAAGCAAGTGGTCCAAACCTTTTTTAACAAATCAAATCAAACAGTAGAATAAAGTGAAACCGAGAGCTGGAATTGTTCATCTTTTTGTATCCAATGTACAAGTCTGTTTACCTGACAGTGGATTACTACTGCATATGTAAAGAAGTTGAATGAAGTCACTTGAGTCAGCATCTGTTCGGGCCCCAGGACTATAAGTTTGAAAAGGAAATCAATCTGAGGGTTATGGAAACTCTGCAGCCCGCTCCTCATCTCTGCATGAAGCTGCATAAAAACACATTCATCACTGACAGCACTGTTGGTGGTTAAGTTGCATTGTGGTTAATGTAGGCATCCGTTTTTAAAAGGAAAAAATAATCCATGATGTAAAAATAAGAAAACCATAATGTGTTTTTGCTGAATCGATTGTGATCTTTTTTGATAATGTCTGTTATGAGTCTGACGATATAGAAGTGAAATTCTAAATAGCTAGAGTACTCTTAAAGTTGCGGCACTTTGAAAACCAAGGGGGAAACTACCTTTTACTTTACAATTAAGACACTTCTCACACCTAGTAAGTATTTTTTGATGAATAAGGTTTTCCCTCGTGACAATCAAGACTGGGGGATAATCGCATGTTGTAGCAAAAAGTGTTTCCTGTAGATATGAATTTAGGGGTTTTATGTGCGTTTCTACAAAATGTCTCATAAACAGACACATGTCCATATATTTAAAAAAAAGCTAATTTCTGCAGACTCACATATTTACAAAGTGTATGTCTCCCAGTGAGGGATCAAATTGTCTAACTCATGTCGACCCCCTTTGAAGTAGAAGGCCTATTTTTAGTCCAACACATCTCTGACCCTATTCTGTCACAGCAGCTGTGACCGAGCAGAGAGCCGAGTGTCGTGCAGCTCTTGATGCTTCGCTGTCCAGGTCTCCTGAGTGGGTCACTCCACTCAATATGCATGTGAGGGCGCTTTGAATGGGATTCACTGTCACCCCTCTGCATAAAGGAGAGGAGAGGTAACGTGCATCTAGCATGCTGTCACTGTGCTGTCACTGTGCTGCCACCTGCTGGCCTCTAACAATCACAGGGAGTTTCCTGAACCACACGGCAGCCCTTTGACCCAAACACTTCTGCCTCATATCTCTCACAGAGTGGGTGAGCGGTCAGAGACGGGAACATCCTGTGTACATCGCCTAGACCTCAACCCAAAAACAAGATATTCCCTTGAGAGATGATTTCCCAACAGTTTGCCCCGCCTGCATAAAGGCGCCCTATTGCCATCATTTCAGATTCACATCTGTAAGTTGTGTCTCTACTGTGACATGTCTCCATGCTTTAATGTTCACTAGGCCTTTTTGTTCTCATACTGCCTGTGCTGCAGCACCTCTTTTCACCCTCTGTCTGAAACCACAGCCCAGTCTGCTCTGATTGGCTCTGTTGTGATTGATACCAAGTGAGCAACTCAGAGTGCATCTCACATTTATTTACAAAACATTATGGACTTTGGATAAAGAAACCTGTCATCATCTGACCTTTGACCCTAAGGGAGTGTTAGATGGTGAAATGATGAATAAATTGTTCTGAGTCAGTGATTGCTTTCTCTTTAAGAGTCAAGTGTATGATAAGAGGCGTACAGCTGAGGTGGCGTTGTGACTTTCGATTAGTTGAACCCTTTGACCTCCAGCTGGTCGCCTGGGTCAGAAAGCTATCTCTGCTTCGTTTCCTCCTCTTTGCTTTCCCTCTCCATCGTAGCTAGGATCTGGAGGACTGTCTGGTTGAAGTCATCAGGCTGGTCGGCAAAAACGTAATGGCCTGCTCCTCTGATCATCTGACAAAACATAAACACGTAGAAATAGTCAGAGGTCAGAGGTCGGGTGCGCAGGTTAGCTTACTTGAGACTAGGGCAGGGGTGTATCTGTAGAAAATCAAATATCACAATTTTTGTGACCAAATACGTGGGTATTGTGACGATGTTGTAAGGTTTGTACCATTAATGCTTCAACATAATATTTATAAATGAAAGAAAATCCTGATAATTAATCATCAGTAACATGGATATGATGATTAGGCAAATAATGAAACAGCAGGACAAGTCTGGTGAGTTCAGAAAATAACATGACTTTATTGTAATGCAGCATCACACTCATTTATCAAACTCAGATAAAACAACTAGAAAGTATTCAAACCTAAATCAAAAACACAATGTCTCGTATGTATCAAAATGTGAAAATGATGTTGATATATCGAGACTTGATAGGACAACAGTTTAAAGAACTTACCGTGATCTGCACATCTGGTCTGGTTTTCTTCAGCTCATATCCAGAGTCGCTGTCGATGCTGGAGCGGGATCCGTAGATGAAGGAAATGGGAATGTCCGCCTGGATTTGTCCGATCCTCTCCTGCATGGGCCTCTTAGCCCAGCCGTAGGGAATGGTCATGTTGCTGAAGGCCGTTTCTCCACTGAAACACAGAGTAAAAAACGTTGGAGAGGAGTAAAACAACATCACATTAAGGCTTCAAAAGTTCCTCACCTTGGACTCTGGGCATTCAGGTGGTAGATGTAGTCGGATACTGTGTTGTCGTCAAACACTGTCGAGTATTTCTGCTTAAAATCGGACCTGATCGTCTGGACCAGCATCGGACCTGAGAGATATCAGGAAAATAAAACTTCTTCTGACGTACGTGTGTGTGTGTGTGTGTGTGTGTGTGTGTGTGTGTGTGTGTGTGTGTGTGTGTGTGTGTGTGTGTGTGTGTGCTGACCTAGAGGCCCAGCGAGTCTGAGTCCAGCCATAGGGTTAAAGGGGCTCATTGCGGCCCCCATGGCTCTGATCCACACTGGGATGGAGCTGTGGTTTGGGTTCTCCGGACGTGCTGGGAACCCCCATGGCTCCACTAGCAGCAGATGTTTTACCCTACACACACACACACACACACACACACACACACACACACACACACACACACACACACACACACACACACACACACAGTTACTTGACGTTAAGTTTCTAGGGTTGCCCCCTCTGATGAATCCACTAACTTTGGTCGTTTTGGTCTAAATATTATTTTCCACATTTAAGAGACTTATGGGCAGATCTGTAGTGAACAGATTTAAAGTGGTGCTTCTACGTTAGATCAACTAATCCATTGGCATAAAGTTAAATTAGAGTTGCCTAAGAATGTTTTAGTCAAAGACATCGCTATAACTTTAAATAAAAAATCGCTACATTGCTTGTTGAAAGAATTCCATCTCATTCAGCAGATGGTAGCAAAGTGCGATAGTCTTTGATTTCAAAGCCTTTGAGATTTTAAATAGCAGATCTAAGTTCACAATTGGCACAAGTTGATTCAAACTGAACATACATGTAGTTTGAACATAATTCTGAACAAAATGTGAGGCTACTAGTTGTCCCTGCTAAATAAAGTGCACCAAAAAACGTCCTTTACTTAAAATACACTGAACAAGAACACTTATATATATATATATATATATATATATATATATAATATTAAAAGCTTATACAGTGCATTATTTTTCTAAATGTATGTGATTAGCAGGTCTATTGCTCTTGGTGTTTTATCAGTGAGTTAAATCCTTTTTACTGCAACTTCAGACATCACTGTTCTGATCTGCTTTCTGTTTGTTAACACATCATAAGCATTCATTTTAGCCTGGCATCCACAAATGAAACTTGATTGGTTTGTAAGTTGGGGAAAATGTGTCTTAAATAAGGAGGATTAGCTGCTTTCACTGGAGAGTTATAAGATGTCTTAAGAATTGTCCAAAAACGTGCCCTACTTGTGCCCTTTCACCCACATCACACACACAAACACACGCCAAAGTACCTGTTGGGGTATCTGAGTGTGTAGGCAGCAGACAGGTATCCTCCGAGGTTATGTCCCAGCAGCACCATTTCCTCCAGTCCCACCTTCTCCCTCCACTCCTCCAGGGCGGACAGAAACTGATCCTCCGCCCCCTCTGGGTCGCTGCTGAACTCGGGGCGGCTGCTCCTGCCGAAGCCCAGCAGATCCAGGCAGTAGACCGGTCCGCTGCTGGAGAGAGAGTCAAGGTTTTGGGCCCAAAGGGCAACCCCGCCTCCGAAACCATGCAGCAGCACCAGAGGAGTCCTTGGGTGGGCAGGGGGGGGAGAGCATGGCTGTGTGGAGAAAGCTATGGTCCACAGATAGTTGCTGTTGGATATCCGGACGTGTTGCCTGGAGAAAGGCCGCTTCACACCTGAAGTAAAGGAAATAAATATGGGACAGAGGAAAGGAGGGAGGAGGAAAAAAGTACTTCAGATTCATGAGTTTACTGAATCACGAGGATAGTGTGTGGCTTTTTAAAACCTTTTCAAAAGATAAAAGTTGTAAGACACCAAATCCTCACAGCAAAACTTGTGACTGAAACCAGCTCATGTTCTAATCAGTGTTTGGACACTTACTCTTGAGCATTTTCTCCTCTGCATCTTTCAGCTGAGAGCCAGAAGTGGGGCACCAAGTGGGAAGCCAGCTTAACATCCAGGAGCTGTGATTCAGACAACAACACAAGCACAGAAAAGCACTTAAAAAAGTTAATTTAGTACTTGTAACTAACTCATAGGCACTTACAACGGTATGACTTGCTTGACGTGAATATATCTGCACTTTCTTTGTTGTTCGGAGTTTGAATCTTAATGTTTTTTTGCGTTTATTGTAAGTTGCTTTGGATATAGCGTCAGCCAAAAGAAATGTAATATAATGTAACAAGCAGGCAGACAGAACATGTGTGGGACATGCAAACAGACAAAGGCAAACACTGAACTTTGACCATATGAGATTGGCTGTTGTTGATATGCAATCTGTAAAGCACTTCCCTGAGTCTCCAGAAAAACTTCACAGTAAAACAGAGTGACGTCCAGTTGTTAAGTTTGCACTCTTTTGACATCTTAATTCCAGATGTCAATTAAGAATATGTCAATTTAATGCTGACTTGCCTCCCTACAGACATGTTTACTTGGTAAAAGATGACTTAATAACTTACAGACATCTTTAGTAGCCACTGTTTAATTCGGCATGCATCAAATGAATTAACAGACAGTCATACCGACAGAAATACATTACACGAGAATTCATGAAAGAGTAAAAAAAAAAAGTAGTGTTTATTTCCTATATCCTACCGATCTGCCTAGTAGAACACTTTGTACCCTAGAAGATATTGGTACATTTTTACTCATATTTAACGTAAATTTGATATTTAAGAGTAGGTTTTACATTTTAAAAAAAAAATTACTCCTGAGGGGGTCAGTGCTTGTTCAAGAAAACAATGTAGTTGGGTATTTTTTTTATCACAAAACGGACAGGAAACGCAACAGGTAAACTTACATAAGCTACCACGGTTTGAAGGCAACTAACATAAAATAGTGCTAAAGGTTTTAAACTCACCTTTTCTGCTTGGCAGGTTGTATTTCCTCTGCCATCCTTCGCATGGCGTTTTAGTTTGTGATGTTCTCACGAAACATGAGAAAAGGTACTGTCAGACTTTGTTATGCTGCGTTCAAGTACATACCGTAAATAATTAAATCAACCAAAGTACCGTGTTTTAATAGTTTGATTATTTTAGAAAAATATTTAATCCACAAATGTCACTTCCTCAAAACATTTCCAGTAAGTATTGGTTGTCTTAATTAAATGGAATGACATTTTGCAAAAGTACAAAAGCCCAACAATTTTACCAATTTCTACACACCACTTGACCACTTGTGTTTTATTTGTATTTGTATATTTGGTGTGTTTTCTGCTCATAATTTAGTCCGAAGATACACAAGAAGATTTCTTGTTTTTTATATTTTATCAAGTCAAATTCCTAGTATGTGCGAACCTAGCTGGCAATAAACCTGTTTCTGATTCTGAAACCTTAATTCGGCAGACAGTTTAGTCCACAGATCTTTTTCTTTTTTTTAAATCATCAAAAATCATAATCTATTGTGTACGGACTCAGAGTGCTCACGTCCAACTACACGTGAAGGCAGCATCGTGTTCTTGATTTAGCACTTTTTTTTAGTACTTTTATGGTACCGAGTACAGGTGGGCTCGTTCATCGTGTTTTCGACTCTTTATCTTGCTATAGTTTACTAGAAAAAGTCTATGCTAACTTTAAGAAGTGTTGCTTTAAATTAATTCGTTAAGAGGCGTTTTGGCAGTTTTGTTTCCTTTCCTGCCACAAAACATAATCAATGGGCCAAAGTTGCACAGCTGACCACCAGTGGTTTCATACAACACAGGTAAACTACCAGTAAAAATAAGGAAATAAAAAATGAAAATACATGACAGCCTAACACCTTAATACAAAAGCTGCGTATTTAACATTTAACATGAAAGACATAGAAGTAAAACACTTACACTCGAGTGCATAAGAAAACAGGTGTGTTTTTATTGGGCTAGCATGTTAGCACGTCAATTAGCACACCATGTTGTTCCAATGAAGGTTTCAGTCACATGATGTCACTCAGCCAATCAGAGGCTTAAACTGATTTAATAGTACAAAAATAAAATAAAATATACATTATAGTGTATAGTAAGTATTGAGTGTGCATATATATATATATATATAAATTACTGTGTATAATACTGTCACTCCACTTCTTGCAGATAAACATTAAAGAATATAGATAGCCTATATAATACATACAGTAAAGAGTAACAATTGACCAGTTTAGTCTTTACTTTTTTCAAAGGGTTACACCCAAACTATTATACGTTAAGATATAGACCAATTATTTACATGTAATCTGGATATACAAAAAAAAGACTACGTGCAGTGTACAATTGCCAAGAAGTTACAATAATAAAATTAACTAAAATATATGGAATGTGGATGAGCTGTAACTTGTGTACAGATGTACAAGTATTTGGAGGGTTGTGCAGACCTGGCAATACTCAAATCAAATAAATATATACTGTTTGGTAGGATGTGCATTAATGTAATGCATAATGTTATTATGGGGTGGATAATAGTCACTGCCAATCGGGTCTCGGGCCTTGTTGATGAGGCCAGTAGCAGATGGAAAAAGCTGTTTTGAGAATGAGAAACGAAAACACTTACAGAAAATGGTGTACATTTGCCTGGTAAAGCTGAAAAATAAATATCTTGTGTTTCTCGTTCAATGTCAAACCAGGAAGATGTGTTTGGCTTTTCCTCACACTAATATCTCGTCTAATAATAGACAGGAAAACACAATTACTGCAAAGAGATTAAACCTGTGCTTATCTGCGTACATTTCATACTTTAATTTAAGATAAGGTAAAGGAGATTAAAGGAGAAGTTAATTTAATTCATTATCCTCGAGGATTGAGTGGTTCGGTATGATCCTGCTGCTGTAGGAGTTTACTATCTCCATTTTCTCCCTTTTTAACTTTTATTCAAACTGTGAATCTCATTAAATCTTAAAAGGGGGTTTATCTTCTAGATGTACAGACTAGGTATTACCCTTGAAATTGTCAGGAGCACCCTTCAAGGAATTATTCTGTCGTCGGTGTTTGCTGACTAGAGTTTAATTTAGTCTTTTGGAGACCTGGGAGAGAGAGCACCAACTCAGGATTTAGACGAAACAGAATACAATATATACTTATGTACATTACTCGACAGAGATAATAAACATTTGACAAGATTTCCTCTCCAATGTCTCATCATTAATTTGCAGTGGTGTAAAGTAACTAAGTAGATTTACTCAAATACTGTACTTAAGTAAAATCTTCAGGGCATTTTTTGCTACTTTGTACTTCTACTACATTTCAGAAGTAAATCATGTACTTGTACCCCACTAAATGTATTTAATACCTTTAGTTACTTTGCAGATTTGGATTAATGATGTGAAATATAATCAAGTGTTAAATCAGACTTTAGTTCCACCTGGAGTAAATCCACAAGCTACCCTGCAGTATACAAAGTCATTCAAACTAGCTGCACCTTTACCAGCTTTGAGAACACTTTAATGCATCAATAATTATAAAACATATCATATATATTTTTCTGAAATGCAGAATGCGTACTTTTGGTACTTTAACTATATGTTGATGCTAATACTTTAGTACTTTAAAATGATTAACATTTTGATTGCAGGACTTTAACTTGTAACAGAGTATTCCTACACTCTGGTACTGCTACTTTTACTTAAGTAAAAGATCTGAGTACTTCTCCCACCTCTGATGATTTTTCATTTTGTTCCTTTCTCAGGTCAAGGACAATTTGAGGACAGCCCAAGCAGTCCTGGTCCACAAGGTGGCGTACTTGTGTTTTATTAATACACACACACACACACACACACACACACACACACACACACACACACACACACACACACACACACACACACACACACACACACACACACACACTAGCTACTTTGTCCTTCATTCCTATAACACAATTTGCCTCTCATACCACCCACTTGACGATGGGCTGACAGAGTGGTTCATGAGTGGTTCGTTTCCTTCGCTCTCACACACACTCTTCCCCTCCGTGTGTTACTGTCCGTTCACTCTGCTGAGCACTCAACATTTCATAAGTCGGTAGACAATGAGGCTGTGGTGAAGCCCGTAAAGGGGCAGCAGTAGTGTGGCTGTCTGGAGAGCGCTAACTGGGTGAAGCTTTAGTGAGGAGACGGCATAAAGCTGCAGAAAGTCTCACCACTAATCATGCTAACTGAAGCTTACATCATGCATCTACTTCCTCTTGTTTATCAGAGGCTCAAAATCACTAACCCGTGGTCTGGCAGTACATTGGCTTAACAATGGGTCTGTTAAGTGTCATCAGTCCTGGGACCATCAGGAGGACATTTCACATAATCGACAAAGCCATTACAATTGGGTCTAAATTGTCTGATTGTTCTTGGGCGTGTTTATGGTGTCAACTGGAGGAAAAGCACTTCACTGTAACGCGATCCATTTTCCTGTGACGCACTTACATTCAGATTTCTGTTGACATATTACAAATGCTATGCCGTGGAGAATAAGGCTTTAATTCAAAGATTCAAAGGTGTTATTGTCATATGCACATACAGTGTAGAAATGGCAATGAAATTCTGACCTGAGCTCCTCCAACAATGCAACATACTGTATATAGGCAAGGCAAGTTTATTTATATAGCACCTTTCAACACAAGGCAATTCAAAGTGCTTTACAAAAAATGAAAGACATTAAGAAAATGGCAATAATATATATATATGATATATTTATATATAATAAAATAAAGAATACAAAATAGTGCAAGAAGTCTATATACATGTAAATAGAATATGATATGTACAAGAACAGAATATGAAATTAAATAATGTACATTAAAACAAAATCAAATGCAGTTCAGTGATAATACTTAATACGTTTTTTTAAAAAGTGCCTTAAATTCATGTTTATATCATGTTTATATCATATAAGTGCATCCTGGTCGAATGCACTTATTGTAAGTCGCTTTGGATAAAAGCGTCAGCTAAATGAATGTAATGTAATGTAATATCATTATCCTGTCAACCCAAGTACATTTGAAACCTTGCTAAAGTTTACACAAATATAGTGCCTGTTCTAAATTGTCTGGTTGTTCTTGGGCGTGTTTATGGTGTCAACTGGAGGAATAGCACTTCACTGTAGTGCTGACCATTATCCTGTGGCGCACTTACATTCATAATAATAATAATACTTTAAAAAATCTTTTAAAATTGTGTCTTTTCATTTTAACATGATCCTGTATGACTACATTTGTAACCCCGCTAAAGTTCACACATATAGTCCCTGCTCCCCAATGTCATTAAAATGAACAAAGCATGGGTGACTAGAAGAAAAAAAAGGAAGCGTGCTTGGATTTCAAGTGATTACAGGAATTAATTAAAACTGTCTAAATGCCATACTTCAAACTAGATTTAAGCAGGCTTTGAGTGGAGTGCATTAACACGAGGTGACAATATTAAATATACTTTTAAAACCTGGTATGCATACTAAAAAGGTTCAGTGTGTGTGCGCTTTTCACAACACTCTTGTAGCACAATGCAAGGGAAAGGAGGGGCTGCTTACAGAAAAAAAATGAAATAAATTGTGTGTAGTACGAGAGAAGAGTACGAGTCATTTTGATTTCTCTTCACGTTTGATTGGCAGTGACTTTCACATGTTGCAGTTTGATTGATGTCAGTCTGTGAAAATATTGCATAATTTCCTGTTTGTGCAAACTTTTGTCATAGTAGACTTTTGACTTGTCACATTAGGAAAACCACAGGTACCATTAATTTATGCTCCATGCTATTCAAGCATCCCAGAAAGCCATGACAGTGAGCCAGCAGGCACCGTATCAGGACGCTGAAACTGAAGCAGCTGAATGGAAATTAGGCATCGTTATTTTTACTCTTCTGCTGTTCCTACTGTGACATGTCAAAATGTCTTTAGTGATAAAGGGCACACATGTATCTTACCATTAAAGAATACGTTCTCTTTCTTTAAGAACAAGCTAGCAAGCACGTCAACTTTAGAAACCCAACCACACATGCTCA